AAGCAGAAGAAAATGACCTAAAAATAACTTTAAGAGAATGTGTGAAACTCTTAAAAAGGAAATGAGAAATACCTTAAAGAAATGAAGGAAAAGACAAACAAAAAATGGAAGACATCAGCAAATACCTTAAAGAAAAACCAAGAAAAAGAAAACAAACTTATGTAAGAAACTATTCAAGACTTGAAAACTGAAATAGAGACAATAAAGAAAACACAAGCTAAGGGAATTATAGAAACAGAAATCATGAGAAAACAATCAGGAACCACAAACACAAGCATGAACAACAGAATACAAGAGATGGAAGAGAGAATCTCAAGTGTTGAAGATACAATAGAGGAAATGGACTCATCAGTCAAAGAAAACATTAAATCTAACAAGAGCTTAACTTAAAATATCCAGAAAATATAGGACAACATGAAAAGGCCAAATCTAAGAATAATAGGTATAGAATAAGGAGACGAAGTTAGACTCAAATCTCAGAGAATATATTTAACAAAATCATAGAAGAAAACTTTTCCAACCTAAAGAAAGATATGACTATGAAGATACAAAAAACTTATGAAACACCAAATAGACTGGATAAAAAGAAGTCCCCTTGCCACATAATAATCAAAACACTAAACAGACAAAGTAAAGAAAGAATATTAAGAGATGCAAAGAAAAAAAGCCAAGTAACATATAGGCATATAAAGGCACACCTATCAGAATTACACCTGACTTTTCATTGGAGATCATGAAAGCCAGAAGGTCATGGTCAAGCATTATGCTCACATTAAGAGACCACGGATGCCACTCCAGACTACTATACCCCCCAAAAAACTTTAAATCACCATAGTAGGACAAAACAAGATATTCCATGACAAAACCAGATTTAACCAATACCTAGCCACAAACCCAGCCCTACACAAAATACTAGAAGGAGAACTCCAAACCAAGGAACTTGGTGACATCAACAAAAACACATACAATTGATGGTCTCAAAGCAGCAAATCCCAAAGAAGGGAAAAAGCACAAATTAACATCACCAACAATGAAAACTAAATTAACAGGAGATAGAAATCACTGATCATTATTATTCCTCAATATAAATGGACTCAACTCACCTATAAAAAGGCATAGACTAACAGATTGGATAAGAAAACAGAATCCACCCTTCTTCTGCATACAAGAAATACATCTGCTAATTAAGATATATACTTCCCTGCTCCCATATCCACTCCTCCTCCATCCCAACTGTCCCATTCCCCAAAGCTCTCTCCATCCTCCCCTTCTCACTTCTCTCTCCCCCATTTCTCCTTACCCCCGTCCCACCCCCACCCCCAAGCTCTCAATTTTTGCCTGGAAATCTTGTATACTTCCAATATCCAGGAGGATAACTACATGTTTTTTTTGGGGGGGGGCACACCTTCCTATTTAGCTTCTCTAGGATCATGAATTATAGACTCAATGTCCTTTATTTATTGCTAGAATCCACTAATGAGTGAGTACATACTATATTCATCTTTTTGGGTCTGGGTTACCTCACTCAGGATAGTGTTTTCTATTTCCATCCATTTGCATGCAAAATTCAAAATGTCATTGTTTTTTTTACCACTGAGTAGTACTCTAATATGTATATATTCCACACTTTCTTTATCCATTCTTACATTGAGGAGCATCTAGGTTGTTTCCAGGTTCTGGCTATTACAAATAATACTGCTATGAACATAGCTGAACAAATGTTTTTGTAGTATGATAGGGCATCTCTTGGGTATATTCCCAAGAGTGGTATTGCTGGATCTTGGAGTGGGTTGATCCTGAATTTCCTGAGAAACCGCCACATTGATTTCCAAAGTGGTTGCACAAGTTTGCATTCCCACCAGCAATGGATGAGTGTTCCCTTTACTCCACATCCTTTCCAACAAAGGCTATCATTGGTGTTTTTGATTTTAGCCAATCTGACAGGTGTAAGATGATATCTCAAAGTTGTTTTGATTTGCATTTCCCTGATGGCTAAGGAGGTTGAGCATGACTTTAAGTGTCTTTTGGCCATTTGAATTTCTTCAGTTGAGAATTCTCTGTTCAGATCAGTACCTCATTTTTTAATTGGGTTAATTAGCATTTTAAAGTTTAGTTTCTTGAGTTCTTTATATATTTTGGAGATCAGACCTTTGTCTGTTGAGGGAGCCATTTGAGGGTTGGCAAGAGACTGGCCTCTAGAGGGGTTCCCAGGTGTCCAAGAAGATGTCCCCAGCTTGTTCCTTGAGCAGCTGAGGAGAGGGCGCCTGAACTGGCCCTATACTACAGCCACTCTGATGAATATCTTGTATATCACCAGAGAACCTTCATCTGGCGATGGATGGAGATAGAGACAGAGACCCACACTGGAGCACTGGACTGAGCTCCCAAGGTCCAAATGAGGAGCAGAAGGAGAGAGAACATGAGCACAGAAGTCAGAGCCACTAGGGGTGCGCCCATCCACTGTGACGGTGGGGCTGATCTAATGGGAACTCACCAAGGCCAGCTGGACTGGGACTGATGGAGCATGTGATCAAACCAGACTCTCTGAATGTGGCTGACATGGAGGGCTGATTGAGAAGCCAAGGACAAAGGCACTGGGTTTTGATTCTACTCCATGTACTGACTTTGTGGGAACCTAGTCTGTTTGGATGCTCAATTTCCTAGACCTGGTTGGAGCGGGGAGGACCTTGGACTTCCCACAGTGCAGGGAACCCTGACTGCTCTTTGGACTGGAGAGGGAGGGAGAGGGGGGAAGAGAGCAGAGGCTTGGAAAAGGAGCTGGAATGAAACCACCATTCAGAGATGTAGTAAGAAAACTAGGGCCTGCTGAACACAGGGAAGGAGGCATGACTGTCCCTTGATGTGAGAAAGCATCGTGAGTGACAGTACAACATACCAGAGATACTGCGACAGGGTCATGAGGTAGGAGAGCAGCATAGACTCTGTGGAAACATAAGAGGTAGCTTAATGTAAAAGAATGGAGATAGCCACACATAGAGAGCATGGGGAGGTGAACCTGATTGGTATGTGTGTGTGTGTGTGTGTGTGTGTGTGTGTGTGTATACCTTTGTGTGTATGTGATTCAGAGATATACACTAAAAATTCAAAAAATTGCTTTTATACTGTTTTCCAGAGGACAAGAAGCCTGGCCACTGCTATAATCGAATTTCCTGTGTAGGCATCAGAATTCTTTTCTCTATGGAACAGAATTAAGGAATTACATTTGTTTGACATTCCTGTTACATTCATAGGTGACAGGGCTATACCAGCATCATGTGGGTGGCATGACCTGACTTTTCTTTGTTTTGGTTCTTGAAATACCAGGCCCATGTTCTAACCATGAACAAATGTGTGATTGGGCTGCTTTAGGGAGTGTCTGGATTAGCTGTTCTTACAATGAGTGTATATTATATTTCGGTGACTCTCCAGCTAATTTCTAAATTTGGTTAAGCACCATTCTTCTTTATACATTTCCCAGAGTGTAATTTACTATAATGTTTAATGTTTAGAGACTTTTCATATAAAACAAAAGTATAAAGGGGATTTATCAGGGTAGTCACGAGAGGAAAATGTGAGAATCTCAAGGTTATACATCATTTTGGTTCATTTATCATCTTTCATATCTTATCCAGTTTCCTCTCTGTTGCTGTGACAAACCCAATGACCAAATGAAACCTGAGTAAGGTAAAGACTTATTTCAGCTTGCACATTTAGGCCATGGTCCATCATTGAAGAAATTAAGAGCAGGGACTCAAGAACTGAACAGAAATCATGGAGGAACAATGCACCCTGGCTATTCCCTCATTTCTGTTTAGCTAGATTTCCTCTGCCTAGGGTTGACACCATTCATACTGCACTGTACCTTCTGACACCAATTTCCCAACAAGAAAAAGAGCAGTGACTCACAGTCATGCTCACAAGTCAGAGAGATTCAGGTAGTTTTCCAGTTGATGTTCCCTTTTCCAAGGCGTGTCAAGATGACAACATCTGACAGGGACATCTGCTTGATGTCCAATATCTCTAAGGCTTTATCCATGGTGCCTGAAGCTTCCTGACTCATCAGCAGCAGGACACGGAATCCAGACCCACAATGAAGGGCTGGTTTTCCTTCCCAGGCTGTCGTCAAAGTCCTCTAACTTTTCCTGTCTGTGTATTCTATGTAAGAAGAATGACTGTGGCCTACATGGAAGATGGCCTGAATCTGCTCTTTGTCCTTTCTGTTTTATTGAACAGCTAAGAAATACCTAGGTACGTACACCATTTCCTTGAACACAATTTTAACATTTGAATGTATCAGGTTGAGAGAAGTAGTTTCCTTCTGCACAGAAAGTCAGTGCACAGTGTGCAGTTGCACCCTCCAGACTCATAGCCACCAGCTACTAGAATTGAGTCTCACAGCCATGAATCCCCATTTCAGAATTGCCGTGTCCAGTGCAGCAAATGCTAATACATGGAGTCCTGGGAGAGAAGAGCAATGACCAAGCACAGAGAGATACATAGATTCTCTGGCTTCCCTTGAGGGACAAGAGAACAACTTTACTTTAAAAACTTTATATTAAAGGAATGAGAAGGCTTGCTTGATTACTGAGAGTGACAGGTCTTATCTAGAGTTTTAGGGGTTATCACAGCTCAGAGTTCCCTCCTGAATGTATTTCCCCCAAAAGCAGCACCTGAAGGCATTTTCCTTCTGGCCAGCAGATTGCACTGAGGTTTCCTGAAAAGGCATGCTACCACCAAGGGAAGGATGAACTGAGTTGCAGGTTTACCTCGAGTTCAAGTTTTCCTTTGATGAGAGCTTTACAGACCATCTGTTATGCAGCAGAAAGCTAGGAAAAATTTCTGGTATTTGGGCTTCCCTCTGGCTATATGTTCAGGCCATTTCCTGGGATCCTCCTGGCTGCCCCTCCCAACCTAGGCTTATGATATAAGCCTGTCTTGTGAGATGGGTCCTGAGTGCTGTCCTGCTTTCTGATGCCCTCTGGTCTGCACATCTCACTGCAATGGGAAAACACATCTTGATGTTCCTGATGGGCCTCACCTTGCTGGTGAGCTCCCTGCAAGGTGAGACCCCCAGAAGATGGTAGGGTTTGCTGCTGGCAGGTAGACATACTGATGCCACATATTGGGACCAATAGGAGGTGTGAGGAACAAGGACTAGAACTTGGATAACATCAGAACTGATCCCTGCTTCATTCCCATGTCTACATCTCCTTTCTCCCTTTCCCTCTGCTGCGCATAATCAAGGATGCTTCCCCTCCTCTGTCCTGGTGCTGGTGCTCTGCCTCCCACTCCTTATCACCCTGCTCTCCTTCCTCTCTCCACCTTCCTTCACCTCTGTTCTCTGGCACATTCAAGCATCCTCAATTCCGCACACTTAAATGTAAATGGACCTAAGTGGGAAAGGAAGGTCATTGGCAGGATGAAAGCTGAAAGAATGCACTCGTCCAGTCCTGTGTGATAAAATGCCTCAGTCTTAAAGACAGGATTCCTGGAGATTCCAGTTGATCCTGCTCAGTCCTTATCAGTTAGCATAGAAAGAAGGGCTGTTTGGACAGGCTGCTTGCTAGGATTGTCTGTCTGTCTTGGGAAAAAAACTTTCATGAAGGAGGGACTGCAGACCCTCATAGACCCCTATAGGTGCAACTATCTTCCTCATTCCCAAGTTCCTGAGGCCCCTTTTATAAAGAGTCAAAGGCATCCTTTTTCCTGTGGCAGACCCTTTTGTTTCCTGTGGGGGAGAGGCTGCCCCCTGCTGTGCAAACTAACAAATATTCTCTCTGGTGAGGTCAGATTCTGATCTCTTTCTGCTTTCTGTCTTTTTTATGTTCTTAGAAATCTAACATTTGATGCCAAGAGAAAAAAACAGAAAAAGCATCAGAGTCCATTGGTGACCTGAGCCCTCCTTCATGCACCTCCCTTGTTCTCATCTGCTCCAATGCCCAGGCTCTCCAATAGCCTGGCAGGGCCATCTGTCTCTCAGGCAGCCATTGACTGCTCTTCCTCCCGAATTCCCCCTTCTCTCCTTTGGCTTTTCTGTCTCATTCTGACATAATATGACTTACAGATGGGAGGATGGTTGTTCCTTTGACTAGACCATGCTTTCACCACAGCCAAAATGTTGGAACCAAGTAACTCGTGATATCAAACAGGAGGCACCCCAGTTAATTCTTACCCTGAGACTCAGTAATAGGGCCTGAGAGCTTTCCATGGACCCACGAGCATTGTTGTTCAAAAGTTCCAGGAACCTTCCACTTGTCCTGCAGACTCTCTCTCTCTCTCTCTCTCTCTCTCTCTCTCTCTCTCTTTTGGTTTCTCGAGACAGGGTTTCTCTGTGGTTTTGGAGCCTATCCTGGAACTAGCTCTTGTACACCACGCTGGTCTCGAAAGATCCGCCTGCCTCTGCCTCCAGAGTGCTGGGATTAAAGGCATGCGCCACCACCGCCCAGCAGGTCCCTTGACTCCATCTGGGAAGGTACCAAGACTTGGGATGCCCTCCTACTTTCCAGGAACATTTGGTCAACCTGAAACCCAAGGGACTCATCTGGTGACTGGATTTGACTCCCGTTCTTATCTTTGTTCCGCACCCCTTATGGATCTCAAACTACATACCCTTAACCTGTCTGTGGGCTAACCTAAGAAAGCTCCATTTGGGAGGCCTCGGACCAGTCATACTTGTTTAGCTTTCAGTTCAAATCTGGCCTTAATATACACTGGGCAATGTTCACTCCTGGCCCAAATTTTGAACCTAAGATTTGAATATCTAAATTGATTTAGGTAACTTCATAAAACAAAATGGAGAATGGTCAGAGGACCCATGTCACCACCACAGCTCATTCTTTTCCTTCTCATCCCTGCCTCCCAGTTCCTGTCTACACTCCTGCCTAGAGCCCCAACCCCTTCTCCCAAAAAGTTCTTTCAGCAGGTGAGGAGTAAAGTCAAGATAAGTTCTCAGCTGAGGTAGCCTCTTGCACAGAAGGATTGTTGGCTGTGGGAATAACAGAGCAGGAACCACAATGAGTATGGAACTGAGGAGATCCTCCTTGTTTGTCAGTCCCTGTAAAGACCCAGGCACCCTAGCAGCCTTGCCAAGCAGCGAGTCCAGGAGCCTTCATCAGTTAGCTCTGCTCTTTAGCTTGACTTTCAATTCTCTTAGAAAAGCGAATTCCAGCGTTCATATCCTAACTCCCACCTCTATGTTCCCTTATTAAAGGAAGCTGACACCAAACTCACTGTTTTAAAAAGTAATTCAGAATATCCAAGCACTGTCTTTGGCAGTTTACTAGACAATCCTATAAAAATGACTCAATAGGATTGCAATTTTATTTTGAATTATCAATTAGATGCTGACTGTGATGGCTAGTTTTATACCAACTTGACACAAGCTAGAGTCATTACAGAGGAGGGAGCCTCAATCGAGAAACCTCCTGTGTAAGATTAGGCTAATGGAAAGTCTCTGGGACATTTTCTTGATTAGTGATTGATGCAGGAGGGCCCAGCCTATTGTGAGTGGTGCCCCCTCTGGGCTGCTGGTCCTGGGTTCTATAAGAAAGCATGTTGAGCAAGCCATAGGGAGCAAGCCAGTAAGTAGCATCTCACCATGGCTTCTATCTCACCTCTTACCTCTAGGTTCCTGCTTGATGTGGGATTCCCCTCTGTATACTGTGAATACTATTGGTTAATAAAGAAGCTGCTTTGAGACTATTGCAGGGCAGAATAGGGTAAGGCAGGAATTCCAAGCAGATAGTTGTAGAGAGAGAGAGTATGTAGAGTCAATGAGATGCCATGTAGTCACCAAAGGAGACAGATGCCCAGGAACCTTACCAATAAACCATGAGCCTCATGGTAAAATATAAAATAATAGAAATGGGTTAATTTAAGATGTAAGAGCTAGCTAGAAATACACTTAAGCTGTTGACCAAACAGTTTTTATGTGATTATTTTGGGTCTGGGCAGCCAGGAAGCAAACAAGCAGTCTCTGCCTTGTTTGGCACCCAACGTTGGGCCTGAACCCACAACCCTGGGATTAAAGGTTTTATGCTCTACCGACTGAGATCTAGGCTCTACCACCTACAGCTAGCTGTTCTACTTGAGTTCCTGCCCTGACTTTATTCAATGATCGTCTATTATGTGGAAGTATAAGCCTTTTACTCCAACTTACTTTTGGTCATGGTGTTTTACCACAGCAATAGAAACCCTAACTAAGACACTTAATTTAACTGACTTCTTTACAAAGCTTCCGGGTACTCATTCCTTATGCAGAAGCATGATGAAAACAACAGTTAAAGGAGTTATCTTACCCTTCTACAGAACTCTGGTACATGGTCTAGCTAGTTCTATAATTGCATTTAACCCTACTAAACAAAATAAACTAATCTTTTCTTTTTAGGTTTTTCTTTTTTAACCTTTTTTTTTGTTTTTATTGAGCTTTACATTTCCCCACTCCCTTTCCTTCCTCCTTTCTCTGCTTCCACCCTCTCCCTTTGCTCCCCTCCATGCTCCACAGTTCTCCGGAACTGTGGACTACAGTCTGGTTCTCCTTTCCTTGCTTTATATCTTCTATCCACTTATGAGTGAGCACATTCTATACGTGTCTTTCTGAGTCTGGGTTACCTCACTCAGGATGTTTTTTTTTGTAGTTCCATCCATTTGACTTCAAATTTCACGCTGTCATTGTTTTTTCAGCTGAGTAATACTCCATTGTGTAAATGTACCACATTTTCTTTATCCATTCTTCAGTTGAGCCGCATTGAGATTGTTTCTAGGCTCTGACTATTAAGACTAATGCTGCTATTGATATTGTTGGGAAAGTGTTCTTGTGGTATGATTGAGTATCCTTTGGGTATATGCCCAAGTGATATCACTGGGCCTTGACATAGATTGATTCCCAATTTTCTGAGGAACCACTACTGATTTCCAGAATGGTTGTACTAAATTGCACTCCCACCAGCAGTGGAGGAGCGTTCCCCTGACTCCACATCCTCTCCAGCATAAGTTGTCCTCAGTATTTTTGATCTTAGCCATTCTGACAGGTGTAAGATGGTATCTCAGAGTCATTTTGATTTGCATTTCCCTGCTGGCTAAGGATGTTGAACAATTCCTTAAATTCCTTTTAGCCATTTGAGTTTCTTCTGTTGAGAATTCTCCATTTAGTGTTCTACCTCATTTTCAATTGCTTTATTTAATATTCTGTTGTCTAGTTTTATGATTTCTTTATATATTTTGGAGATCAGCCCTCTGTCAGATGTAGATCTTTTCCCATTCTGTAGGCTGTCATTTTGTCTTGTTTGCCATGTCCTACAGAAGCTTCTCAGTTTCAGGAGATCCCATTTATTGACTGTTGCTCTCAGTGTCTGTGTTACTGATGTTCTACTTAGGAATTGGTCTCCTGTGCCAATGCTCTTAAGCTAATCTTGATGTAAAATATTTTCCTCTTTCATTTGTCTCTCAAATGATCTCACAAGTTTGTACAGTCATTACTTCCTGACTTATGTTCTGCAACTTTGCCATTTGTTATGGTTTATTGTGATCTTTTGGATGCATGCTTATTACTCTTCCTTCTGCATTGCCCCTTTTGTCAGCTCAAAGCACTTTAAGATAGATCAGTGATCTCTAAAGTGGGAACTAATGGGCCATGGGTCATCCAAATCACTCTTCTTCTTGCTGCTCTGGGTGTGGTTAAGGACTCAACTAAAACATCTGGACAGAAGACTTCTTTACATCAATTAACATCCCTGTCTCTGAAACTCTCAGAAACCCTTAAAGAAACTTCTCATCAGCGTAATTTCCTTTAGGACCAGCTCATCCTTCAGCTGCTGCAGTTTTTCCAGACTAAATACCACTGGATCTGACTCCTGTGGAGACTGGGATTTGAATCATCCTGCACCAATGATGTCGCTTCAGTACCAAGAACTCCTAACTGACTCAATTAGTCCCAGAGACACGGGGACCATACAAAAAATTCAGTCACAAGCCACCTGTGGATGGGCTTTTGGTTCCCTCCCACTCTGGCTCTTCCCTTAGATCACATAGTTCTTCCTTATTACCCTGAACCATGAATAAAATGCTGCATGTTAGCTTTCCCCAGAGCTCTCACACACTACAAGAGCTTCATTTGTTCCAGATACAGCTGCAAAAAGACATTTTAGATGCTCTGGAGAAACCGTGGATGCCAGGGACTGTCGTCCCTTTCACTACAGGTCAGACACAATTCTCTAAATTAGTCCACCATTTTCTCCTGCTTCATTTTTTTTTTCAACACTCTGTTGCTCCTTATTGCTTCTGGTAGCTTACTTTAATGTAGTGCTCCTGATGGTGGCACTCGTCATGGTCACCTTGAATCACTAGATCTGGACGGAAAAATTTCACGCTCATACCATCTTCTACTCTTTCCACAATCTGGAAAATCTATCTGTCACTCTCCTCCAGCTTGTCACTTCCACTGGCATCATGTAGACCCACAGACCCACCCCTCCCTAATAAACACAGGGAAGGTCCCCCTCCCTACATGGAAGCCCTATTTATAGACATGCCCATCCTCTTCACTTCACTGTGTCAGTTTCGCCTCTACTCTTGCGCCTCCTTTTACCTTTTTGGGCAGTCTCTCAGCTTTACTCTGTAATTGAACATCTGTTTTGAGCCCTCCAAAGCTTCTACAGGAAAGCATGATGGCAATCCCATGGTTCATTGTGGCTAAACAAGTTAAAACTCCTCCTGCTAAGTGACCAGAAGATCCTTGAGTCAATGGACTCTGGACTACCCCCTCCCAATAATGGCTCTCCTTAGCTTGAAGCAGTCAAGAAAGAGCCAATTCCCCCATTCTCCCTTCTTTCAATGACCCTGCTCCTTATCTCTTTTTATGCTTGTCTGTCAGGGTCGAGACTATAATTGACCTTGCTCAACTTTTATCAGTCAGCACAGAGAGGAATGGCTAGTGAGACAACCTGCTTCCCAAGATAGTCTGCCTCACCTTGGGCAAACACTTCTAGAAAGAGGAAACTCCAAACCAGCATAGCCCCCAAGACCATAGCAATTTCTTCACCCCAAATCCCCTCACCCTGCAGCTGTAAATGGTTCCAGGCAGCTTTCCCCTTGGCAGACCCCTCCATTTCCTAGAGAGGAGAGACCTCCCTTTGCTGTGTGTATTAATAAATACAACTCTGTCTGGTGACGTCAAACTCTGGTCTCTTTCTGCCTTCTGTCTCTTTATGCCATCTCAGAAATAGAACACTACGTGGTGGGTTAGGCACCCCACATCAGAGCTTTGATTTTTTTCATCCTGATAACTTGGTATGTTCTCAGGATATGTCATTGGGGAATCTTTCAACTCTCCTTCAACTTTCCCATGGTTATGGCCTTTCCTGAAAGGGTTAGCTCAGCATACAGTCAGCTCCTTTCATGGCTATTGTTTATTTTCCATTAACCGGAGCCACAGGCTCAGCTACCATGCATGCTTGAGGCTGGGCCTCAAGGGAGCCCCTTAAGTGAGCCCCTTAAGTGAGACACTTGCTTTTGTCTTTTCAGCTTTGACATGTTTCATGTGTGCGAGGTTCAATTCTAGTGGAATTTGTGAGAAAGGAGAAGGTTGCTGTACGGCTAAACCTGGTGAGAAATGTGCCTCGCTTCTATTGTCCAGAGGTATGTAAGTCTGGGAGCTCTGAGGGCCATCTTGCTTGCTTTACAGTCATGAATCCATCTCCAGAAAGCTTGATGGCAAATGCAGAGACTGAAGGAGGAGGTGTTTGCTGGCTGTTGGTCAGACCAACAAACAAATTATTAAAAAAAAAATACTGTTGAAAGATGTCTGGGCGATGGTTGGTGACTTTCAGGTCAAATATACTCTGGTATGATAGGAATTAGATTCTAAAATTCCATTCTGCACTTTTGGGAATGGAGTTCTGCCTGTAGGTTGGAGTAGGGGTTGAAGGATGGTGACAGCAGAGGGCCACCTCAGTTATACCTGTGTAGCAGATGTACCTTTCACCTAGAAGCCTGGCTCTCATTTACTGCGGCTTTCACTCTTTTCACTAATATTTATAGCTTGCCTCTTGTCTTTCTTCCTCTCCAGATGGCAAAATCCAGTTTGGAGTCCAGAGATGTGCTGACCTGTGCTTCAATGGGAACGTTGTGAATAGAAATAGAAGCATACTAATGAATTGTTGCAGTGACAAGTCTTACTGCAATAAGCTAAAAGCCTGACACTTTGCATGGCTCTACTCTGGTGAGCCCTCGCTCCTTCCCTGTAGCCTCCCTGCTCAACAGCCTGTACTTAGCATCAGCTGTTGATACCTCAACAGTGGTCTACTTCCTCTAACCAGGGCATATGTTTCTTGATACGCCATTCAAATTTCAAATGAATTAGTAGCTTAAACCAATGGTTAGGTCATAGACATCCTCCCCAATCATCTCACAGGCACATCCAGACTTCTGCTTATTAAATCTGTTAGACATCCTTGGTACCATCAAGTGACTAGGATCAGACATCACAGGGTACAGGTTTTTAGAATTTTGAATAGGTCATGATATATGTTTGTATATATTGAAATATAAAAAGTTATATATCACAAATATTAAGACCATTGTAGCTTCTATTTTCTTCAGTGTTGTTCATTGAGTCATGACCATGGAGCATACCAGAAAACACTCTCTACTGACCATGCCTAGAGTTTTCATCCTACTTTCTATATCATGTATTGTGGCCAAGATTTGAATTCTCTACTTCTCTCTTTGTGTCTTGTGTCATCTCTCTCTGTTGTTGGTGAATCTATGCCTGTTTAAAGACTGCCACCCATGTCTCTCTGTGTGTCTGTGTGCCCCATTAAATAAAGATGTTTGCTCTCTCTCTTCTACTGAATGACACAGAAAACGTCACATAGTGAATGAATGAAGGATGTTTTACGGGAACCTTCAACAGAGTTTTATATGGTTAAATTCATTGACTCCAATGACCCCAACTGACCTAGATAACAAAACAATTTATAAACATTATTGGGTATCAAAAAATATCTGTATGCTGCTTCCAACATTTGCAGTGGAGTTTCATTTTATAAGGGCTTTCGGCCTATTTATTGTTTCCATTATTTATTATAATATATATACAAACATACATATGTAAACAGAGTCTTTTCTCTTCTGCCTGATCCCTATAGGGAGTGCCTGGGATAAGCCTCTTCATCGTGGCCCATGTAAGATGCTATGGGAATCTCCCATGCTGCAGTTCAAGCCCACAGTAGCCAGTGGACATGGTTCTGTACCTAAGCCTGCAATGAAAGACATGAATTATGAAGCTGTTCTTGACTCGGTTTTCCTGTATCTAGAAGCCCTTTTTAAGATTTCTCAGGCTTTATGTGGATGCACCAAATGTAAACGTAGGCTTTTTTGTCCCGACTGCTCCCACAGCAGCTTTTAATACAATCACTCAGAGGCTTAATTTGAATTACAACTGTTCGGCCTATAGCTCAGGTTTATTACTAACTGGCTTTTACAACTTAAATTAACTAATTTCTATTAATCTATATTTTCCCATGTTGCTTCGTGGCATTGTCATTCTCTAGTACATCTTGTTGCTCCACCAAACTCACTAGCATCTGCCCAGACTCCATCCTTCTCCTGCATCTCTGCTTGGATTTTGGCTCTATCCTGCTTTGCCATAGGCGAAATCAGCTATTTTATTAACCAATGGGAATAAAACATGTTCACAGCTTTCTCCCTCTCTGTCTAATCAAAAGGAAAGTTTTAACTTTAACATAGTAAAGTTAATACAATAAAACAATTATTAAGTAAGAATTACAGTTATAATATTTAGTTTATTTTTATTTGACAAAATTAAGGAAAATGTTAAATTATCTACCCTATTTTGGTGATTCTAAATTTTTCTATCTAATTTACCTATTATTATAACTAAGAAAAACTATGACTATAATTATCTAGTCTTCAACCCCGTCAAAGACCTGAGAAGGAAAAATATTATCTGAGTAAGCAGGAGGTGCAAGCAAGTGACTTCTAAAAATAGCTAACTGCCTGGACAGTCATCCAAGGTTTTTCTGTTATGCTGGGGCATCCAACTTTGGCTTATTGGCCTAGAATATCTGACAGACCATTTTCAGAAGCAGAAAAATTTGATGGACATTTTTTACCTTGTCTTGACAAAGTTCATCAGTTGCTTTTCTTTGTATTCTGCTGGTCCAGAGTGGACAGAATACTTACTGTCAACAGTAAAGGCCGGTTTTGCCAAGAAGAAAACAAACTCCATATGGAATGTCTTTGGTGCCCATTATCTTTTTAGCAGTAGATCAGTGCTACCAGTAGCAGATGTGTCTTATGTCAAAAGAATTCTAAGTCATTAAAACATTCTAAACATTCTAAATTTAAAGACTGTAGGTCTTTGAAGTGTTTGAAGATTACCTATTCATCTGAAATATATCTTTGTATATCCAGAAAACCTTACTTACATGGTTTTAAGATTGACAATGATAGATGACAATCTGTATTTCTTAATTATACATTATATTTTAAAAGAGCTGCATAAACATAATACCTTAAACAAGAGTAGAAATATACATACAATATAATAAAATTAACCTTAAATTTATATCGATAAACTAAAATCCATACCAATGTAAAATATTTTGAGATTAACAGTTGTTTTTAGATTAAGATAGATTTAATAATCCACCATTTTTTATTTTTATATAATATCCCCATTTATTCTTTTAGAAAGATATTAACTATGACCAATAACAATTTGTAATCAACATCCCTTAAATGAAAATAAACATCTGTAAACAATATTTTGGGAATTTGGGTATAGTTCTCTAGACTACTTCCTGCTGATTGTCTGGTACTGCTTGTCTTATAGGGACCCTTAAAATATAATAAAATATAAAATTATAGTTAAATCTTGGCTGCAGTAGTCTGTGAGGCTGGATCTCCTGAGCAGCCCTGAAACTGTTTTGGATGTTGGATCACTTGGGCCATTTTTATTTTTGTCTGGTATCCTTGTTCTGAAAATACACAAAACTTTTAAATATAACATATACATTTGTAAAATTGACTATGCATTGTATATAAGCCATCTAGAGATGATATTTTGCTATATGTTTGAGCAGGCAAAATATATTTCATGTGTTGGAGTCCATAAGAAATATAGCAGATGACAACTAGTGTTCAGTTATCAACCCACCAAAGAAATGAGTCTCTGATGGAGGCTAATCCTATCTAGGCAAGGCCTGCATGACTATAGACTCTGGAAACTGTTGCCCAGATTTGCTAAAGCAGCTTGGTGTGTATCCTATACCTGTATTGTAGTGTGTAATCTCATGTAATCGCATGATTACATTTCAATCTTAAGGGCACATGTATCTGTGGATGGTCAGGAAGATGACTTTTCATTTAGCTATATATGTTTTATGTATAGAAAATATACTAGAACATGCTTCATAACTAGATCTATTTTCCCACAAGGATTATAGACACAGAAGCCTACATTGTTCCTTTTGCTCAGAATAACTGCACACTTTTACCTCAGAACAAGTTCAAGCTAGACTAAAGACTTTTTGTAAATGGATCATAAGTTTAAAACCTTACAGCTATGCACAAGGTCAGAGTCACAGGTGTCCAACCAAGGTTGCTACACAAAGAACCCTAAGAAAAGCATGCCAATTCTCTGCTTGCCAAGTCTGCAGACAATAGACCTATATCTCAAAATTTGTCATTGGGCACTGGGATACCCCCCCCAAGTGTGGTCATGGTCTTCCTCCTGTAATCTTGGAAACTTATGTTAAATGGCTCAGCTCCTTGTCACTTACCCTAGGAATGTGCGTTTGACCAATGAGCAGTAATGCTTACAATTTTTTCATTGTGTTAAGCCCCACATGGAAAAAAAGTGTTTTTTAGGCTAGAGGAGAAGAAGTTAGGAGGAATTAGAATTAGAACAGGAGAATGAGAGGTGAGGCAGGAGAATAAAGGGATTTGTTTGGAACAGCACAGTATGAGAGAGTTCATTCACCTTCAGATACCCTAAGAACTTTTTGCTTGCTGTAGCATCCTATCTGAACCCTGAAGAGGACCTTGGGTCTGGACCCTAAAGGCCCTTGTTAATCACATGTCTGGAAGGTTACTTTAGGTTTATTTCTTTTATATATTCCTTCCACGTATGCTTGCATGCCAGAAGAGGGCACCAGATCTCATTCTAGATGGCTGTGAGCCACCATGTAGTTATGTAGTTGCTGGGAATTGATCTCAGGACCTCTGGAAGAGCAGTCAGTGCTCTTAACCTCTGAGCTATCTCTACAGCCCCCTAGGTTTATTTCTTTATGTTTATAGCCAGGATTTTCAGGGGATCTTTCTTTATCAAACCATATTAAACTGGCAGGAACTCATAGCTTCTCATTATCTGTGGAAACACAAGCAAAACCTCTTTTCCAAAGTGACATATCCTTAGACCCAAATTTTGAAGTCAAGATACCTTTAAAATATATATGTTGATTTAACTTAGCAGCTCCCATAATCAAATATCTCTTAGTAATTAGCTTATTAACTGTTAAAAAGTTTCAAAGAAAAGAATAAAATATATAATCCAGACTTTGTGTATTTTCCTATTTTATGTGACTTATTTTTTAGTATATGTTCTTTTTTAGTATATCTTCTTAAGAAATTTATTTTATTATCTTATAAGTATATTTTTTTTAAATCTGTGACTGTGTAACTCTTTTTTTCAGTCTCAAGCCTATGCACATATTTTAAACACAGTGTGACCAGTTTGCAGTGTTTTTTTTTTTTTATCTGAATCTACCCCTATTGTATATTTGTAATCCTTTTCTAACTAGGAGAGTTTTTAAACTGCTAAGCAGGCATGGCTAGACCAAAGTGACAACTCACCTTTACAGAATTTGGAGGTATCAGCAAGAGTCACAGTTACCTCACCAACTCTGGGAGACTATGGGGTCCATGGTGCTACCAAGTAGCATGCCGCTGTACTTCAAGCCTGTAGATAGTGGTTGGGATAAGCCTCTTCACCACAGTCCATATAAGAGGCTGTGGGAATCTGCCATGCTGCAGCTCAAGCCTGCAGTGACCAGGGAACACAGTTCTGTACCGCAGCTCACAAGGAAAGACTTAAACTATAAAGTTATTCTTGACTCTGTTTTTGTGTGTCTAGAAGCCCCTTTTAAGATTTCTCAGGCTTTTTGTGGATGTAC